TGTCTTATTAAACATTATTGAGGACCTGACAGCATTAAGAAATTATAACTGACAAACTCTTAAAGTTTTAATCTATTAGTCCTATTAAAATAATAATAACAATTCCACTACTTGTTAATGTTAATAAACAAGTGGGTCACCACTTATATTTTATAAAATATATCTATATTTTCCCAAACAAAAAAAAAACAATTAGTGAGGAGTATTGTTTTACATTTTGGCAAATCTTTTAATGTCTAAGTTTTTACAGTCTATGTTTTCTTCTAGGATTTTCATAGATTTGAGTCTAACATTTAAGTATTTAATCCATTTTGATTTTATTCTTGTATGTGGTGTAAAGAGGTGGTCTAGTTTCATTTTTTGCACATATCTGTCCAATTTTCCCTAGACCATTTATTAAGCAGGCTATCTTTACCCCATTGTATGTTTTTGCCTTCTTTGTGAAATATAAATTGAATATGAAGGCATGGGTTTATTTCTGGGCTCTCTATTCTGTTCCACTGATCTTTATGTTTTTCTGCCAGTACCATACTATTTTTATTACGATGGTCTTGAGAGTATAGTTTGATATCAGGTAGTGTGACTTCTCCAACTTTGTTCTTTTTTTCTCAAGATTGGTGTGACTCTTCAGGGTCTTTTGTGGTTCCATATAAATTTTTGGAATATATGTTTTAGTTGTGTGAAATATGCTATTGGTATCTTGATAGGAATTGCATTGAATCTATAGATTGCTTTGGGTAGTATGGACATTTTAATGATGTTAATTCTCCCTCTCCATGCATATGGTGTATACTCCCACTAATTTGTATCTTCTTCCATTTCTTTTGGTGTCTTATAATTTTTCAAGTTCACTTCATGCATTTTTAAATAAACTGTCTTTCAAATACTCAAGTCTGAACAACCATAGTTTTTCTGTCAGCTAGTTTTTCAAGTAAAAATGATGTTCCATGAGAAAAGCAGCTAATTCAGTTTGTATCTCAGTCATGCAAATACTTTTACCCAACAAAACTATTGCACTTTTCAGTATGCAGCAAAAATGCTTAAGCATATTTATCATTTTTTACATAAGATATTAAAAGTATATAGTCTAGTATCAAGATTTAATAAAATTAATAATTTTACTGCTCCATAAAGGACATTCTCAGTGCAAACTGGCTTTGTTTCCCCCCATGTGGTTTGGTTTTTACTGTGAGTGCATGACAGTGAGAAAATACAATGAGACTTTTGGACAAGATGGCAGTGTAAACAGACATGACTCACCTCTTTGCACAGCCACATCAAAATTACAACTAAAATACAGAACAACCATCACTCAGAACTGTAAGAAATCAAGCTGAATAGAAGTCTGACAACTATAGAATTAAATAAACCACATCCATTCAGACTAGTAGGAGGGGCGTAGACATGGAATGTGTTGGTCCCTCTCCCATGTGTAGTGGATACAAATTTGGGAGGAATATCTCAGGAGTGAAGAGTCCCAGCCCCACACCAAGCCCCCCAGCCCAGGGTTCTAGTGCCAGAAAGATAAGTCCCTACAACTTCTGGATGCAAAAACCAGCAAGGATTGAGTTAGTGAAAGAAACCGTTGGAGCCACAAGCATTTCCTCTTAAAGAACCCACACATGGACTCACCAACTCGGACTTACTCCCTTGGAACTTCAGTTCTGAGGTAGCAGCTTGAAAGGCACCAGTGGTACACGTGGAGAATTTGAAGTGTCTGTCATCAGGGTGAGCAGAGGCCCTTGTCCCTTTTCTAAACCCTTCCAGCAAGCTGGTACCATATCTGATACTCCATCAACCTGGCTAACACTGTGGGACCCACCTTGGAGATCCCCAGAGATTCCACCTCGCCCAACTTATAGGCCCACCCAAGCTGCTTTTCCATCTAAATGGCTGGTTTTGGTTCATACTGTACAACTTTCTAAAGCCTCTCAAATAAACAACAGCTGTTCTCAGTGAGCTCCAGGCCCAGCACTAGCCCAGCACCAGCAACAGCCAGTCTTGATTAAAACTTGGCTTGGCCTGGGAATCTCCAAGCCCATCACAAGTAGCAGCCATCTCAGACTGCATTATAGCTCAGGCAGGATGAAAAATCATGATTACTGTAATAGCATAATCAATAAACTATAACTTTTTATAAAAAAAGAAAATACAATGATTCCTAATGCAATCTGGTGCCACTGCCTTGAGTCATACTGAGATGCCAGCAATTTTAACCACAAAGGCTTTGCACCATTAGTGCAAATGTCAACACAGAGAAACGGTATTGTAAGTATTAGTATTACAATAAAATAATTTTGACTTCACACATTCCAGAGAGGATCTCCCCAGGAGTCTATTGTCCACACTTTGAGAAGTGCTGTAAAAAACAACTAAGAAAAAATATCTGGCAACAATTCCTCTTTTGGAAAGTTTGCAATATATATAAGGACCACACAAATGTGATAGGTTGTACATTTCTGGAGACATATTTCTTAAGGTTGCTATGTTGGAAAGAAAGGAGGAAAGGAAGAAAGACAAGAAAGACTTGCTAATAGCGGTATTAAGCAAGTGAATCATGTCCATATTCCCTCTTGGAGAGGCAGCTCTGGCTGTTATGATTTATCATGAGACCATATGGCTCTTTCATAACACCTATCACCCACATTACCATTTGCTTATGACTTTGGACTAAGGACATCCAATATGGAGGTTCATAGAAACCGGGATATTATGAGGACATTAATGTAAGAGCTAGTCTCAAACAAAGATTAACTAGAGGATCAGACTCCTTCCCCCCACATTTTAAAAGGAAAAAATAAACAAACAAAAGAAAAAAATCTGTCAAATGTAGGTGACATAGAAGCTTGGAGAGAAAATGACATCCAAATAGGAAATGGGGTAGTGCGGGTGTAATAGGTCACAAGTACACAAAAGGTATGATAAGTTGAAGCTATAAGAAAGGAGACACAAGGAGTTAGGAAAAACAATGAGGGAGAGAAAGGTGGCTGAAGAGGGTGAGCAAGTTGGTCAGTAGAGGCAGAAGCAGTAAAAGCAGAGATGGAGAGCAACCAAGTCACCGTGATGGTAGAGGGTCAACAACATTTGGCTACTGAACGGCTAACGAGAAAATCCGGTTCTTAGAGTTGCCCTGCCAGGCCTCAGCTCTCAGCTGACATTCCTTCTGCCTTTGTATGCCTTTCCAAAAACCTGCTTGTTTTTCAAAAAAGCAATGAGTCTCTGTCCTTGTATCTAATGGAGCCTAATTAACTCCTAACTACTGGGAAGGCATCATGCTAGAGGCTTTCATGACATTATCTCAATTTTAATAATCTTTTTCACTTTAAGTATATGTACCAACTGTGCTCCCACACATCAGGTAAAATGCAAAATAACGAAGTTGACATGATTTCCATGTTCATAAGTCATATGATACACAAATTATATTGAGGCCACAAGCCAGGGGGAACTATGTAGTTGAAGAATTTGTTACTTTTTCTTCCTGGTTCAAAAAGAGAAAAACAATTGAACTAGAAGGCATTAGAGTGATAAGAGAATATGGAGAATCCAGTTGGGATTCTTTTAGTTATGAAAACAAACCCAGTTGGATTAAGTTAAACAAACAGAATTTATTTGAACACTACAGGGATATCTCATAGAAACATTAAGAAATGCTCAGCCTCAGAAAGAGCCACACCTGGGTTTCTTCTGGGTCTCTGGTTTCGCTGAGTAACCTCTGCATTCTTCCAGCCAGGCACCCTGGCTCCCTCTGTTTTCCTGTCTGGCCTCTAAGGCTCCCTGCAGTTCCTGAGTTTGCAGGTCACTGGGCTCCCTCACAGGGAAATTGAATCAATCCCCTCTTCCTTTCCTTCTTTCTTCCCTCTATTCCTCACCCACCTGCATTCCAAATTCCTAGGGAAAGTGTTCTGATTGGTCCAGCTTGGGTTAAATATTAATCATTGGTACAGTAAACTGCAGCCAAGAGGCAGAGTCAAGGAACTACCTCTCACAAAATGGAAATGGTGGGGGAGTAATAACGTAGGGGCTAGTCTTACCATCTGGGATGACCAGACTGGGGCAGTCAGGTGGAGGAGGGCTGGCTCACTACTAATAGTTGGCTGATCCCAAAAGATGCCCACTACAAAAGATGAACAATATACCTCCACCACATTAAGCAAAAACAACTCTAAAGTGATCTCAGATGTTCCACGAGGCTCCATCTCATGACCTTGGAAAAGGACATTCTGGATTCACCACTCTCAAAAAAAAAAAAGCTCACCCCAGCAAAGATGTCAAAATGTGTTTTGAGAAATTTCTCCCTTTGCTGATCGAAGGGAGATCCCTACCATGTGCCTGTGCTTCTCAGAGTCCATGCTGCCCGCAGACCTGGGCTGGTCACCCCCCATGCAATGTCCCACATTCCAAACCCACTCTTTTCCTTCCTTTCACTCCAGCAAAATCTGTCTGCTCCATGGTAACAGCTGGAAAAGTCACCCGTGTTAGAAATACTGTGGTCTGATACTGTAAACAGTCCCAAATAAGAGAACTATTTATTAGTATAATTTCATCTTTTCAAGGAGGGTTTCTGATGATAGCAACAACTGAGCTGATTTGGGGAAGAAAAAGATACATTTAAAAAGGAGTTCTATGCTGTACTCCTTACCATGCAACCTATTTCTTCGAAAATGAGGGACTTGACCTTTCCTTCTGTTTCCGTGCTGAACTGGCAATCTTGTTTTCCAGATCTACTTAGTAACTGCTGTCTCTGGATTTTCACACTGTAGCCATCATACTCTTTGCATAATAAATAACATTATAAAACAGAGGCAAAATCTTAAGGAGTCTCCATTTGTGCAGTGCCTTCTAATACCCTAAAGAGTAAACAAATCTGTTTTTTCAATGAGCTCTGAGTTTTTAAAGATGAGAGCTTTCTAAAAGTTGTAGTTTGTTCTCTTAAAATGCAAATTTACAAATGTCCAGTAAGAACTGTGTTTTTAAAATACTTTATTTGATTGTTTTAGAGAGAGGAAGAGAGGAATAGAGGGAGAGAGACATCAATGTGGAAGAGAAACATTGAAGACCCCCAACGAGGGACCTGGCCTGCAACCAGGTGTGTGCCCTGACCAGGAATCAAACTGCCAACCTTTTGGTTCAGAGGCTGGTGCTTAATCCACTGAGCCACATCGTTTTAATAAGTACTACTTGTACTTTCAGGTCCATTTTCATTCAAGGGGCTGCAAATCATTTTAGAAAGTGACCTACTTAATTTAAAGTTCTATCGGTAACTATGGTACTGTAACCAGTGACAGGAGATCATAAATTATTCTGTCAGACCTTCCAGCTCACTCTCTCAGCTATGAAATCTATACCCAGATCTTAGGCTTTAATTCTCCTTATATTCTGCACAGAAAGGCAGTTGTCTTATTGGTTAGAAACCGGATGCAGCATATAGACTTCTAAGTTTCAATCCTTTGGTCAATAGTTGGGAGACTCTGGGAAAGTTGTTTAAGCTACCTGTGCCTCAGATTCCTCACCTGTAAAATAAGGATAATAACATTATCTACTCATGATTATTGTGAAGATTAAACAAACAAACAATGTTGCAAAGCTCTTAGAACAGCAACTGGCCATACTGAGGGTTCATTATTATTGCACTAACTTTATAATCTTCATAGGCTTCTGGTTACTACTGACAAAGACTCTCTTCTTCACCTAATTTTAACCAGAGCTCTTGTGACTTCTTTGCTGGACTAGGCCAGACCTTGGCCTTTCCTCTTTGTCCTTGTAGAATCCATTTGAGCAAGAACCCTGTTAAAGCAGTTTAACAAAAAGCCTGCACCCTTGATATCTTATCTCCCTGGCCTGCCTTCAGCAAGAATTCTGTGAGTTTTCTAGCAAGAATGCTTGTTATCCCTGATGTTTTCTCTCAGTAATTTTTTACCCACTGAACCCTACTGTCCTCCTTGGCTATAAATCCCCACTTGTCCTTGTTGGAGTTGAGCCAGATGTTTCTCCCTTCCTACAAAACCCCAATGAGAGAGTCCCCCTTGAATAAAGTCTGCCCTACCATCTCTATAAGCCATGACTTTTTCCTCTAACACTGCCCTTTGTCTTTAAATAGTTAATCATTTCTTGTACAGAGTAGGGGGAGAAGCATATTTTGGAGATGGCTCTAATATTTTAATCTTGTGGGGTAGCATGTCAAATGTCCAATAGATGGTAGAAAAAGTTGGGATCTATTAAATTTTTTTATAAAGGTTTGATGTCTTTTTTTAAATAAGATTTTATTTATTTAACTTTAGAGGGGAAGGGAAGGAGAGAGGGAGAGAAACATCAATGTATGGTTGCCTTTCGTGTGTCCCCTGCTGGGAACTGGCCTGCAGGGAACCAGCCTGCAACCCAGGTATGTGCCCTGACTGGGAATCGAACCGCGATTGTCTGGTTCGCAGGCCCGCGCTCAATCCACTGAGCTACACCAGCCAGGGCTAAAATTTTTATAGACCTGCATCATGGTGCTAATCCTACCTTAGACAACGCATTTAGAAAACTGCTCAGTAACCTAAAGCAACACTAGCTGCCTAAGGTTGGGTTTTGAAGTAGACACTAAGAAACGGGTTCCAGTGTATTTACCTTACTGAATGAATGCTTTTTAGGAAAGGCCTATAAGGAGGAGAAGAAGGAGGATCGGGAAGGGCTGAGTGAGGGTATGGTCCCAGGTAAAAGTTTAGGGAAGCATATGGAAAAATGAAAATGAGTCCGTCCTTGGTTACCCTTGGGCAGGGGAGGAGTATAACCTCTCAGGGGTCTCTGGTAAAGGGCTCCACTTGGCCAAGACCAGTCTCTGGAGAAAGTCGCAGGTATGAGATCTCAGCCGAGGCACTGACAGCAGCTGAAGGATGGCTGCCCCAGCCTGTAAAGGGGATCTGGGCTGGGCAACACTGCCGCACAATGTCTTCATTGTTCGTCACTGATGCTTTTTGACATGTGACAGTGGGAACTTCATTCTGCGCATCCTTTGTGTTCCTTACACTTGTCCACAGTGCCTAGCAGATGGTACAATTTTAATAAATTGTTTCATTTATTTACTCACACACGAGAGCCTCCTATTCGATTTACAAAGCAATTTCTTAAAGAGTCATCTAATTTAGATTTTATTTTGTACTTTTTCTCAGTGACACTGCAGTGTTTTTCTTCCTGCCCTTGTCACCACCCCACCTGCTTACGTTTTACTTTTTTCTAGCCTTACTGCTCTCTAAATGAACGCCCAAGTGAAGTAAATCACTGAACCTCTCAAAGCCTCCAGTTCTGGGGAAGGAGAGCAGTAAATCCTTAAAATGGTCTGTTTTGCTTCACCTTAATGCATCTTTCATATGTCTCTTTTTATGTTAAGCCTGTTTACGTTATGCATTGTGAATGAGAACTATGTAGAGCACCTTCCTGCTGAAGATAGGAGTCTGAAAGTGCTGATGTTTAGAGAACAGAACACATTCCTGGAATCTTAGGATTCTGAGATGCTGGGCTTGCACTCTCTGCTGTGGATAGAGAAGAGCTAAGAAAAGCTCTTCTTTGCTCATCTATCTTAATGCATATGGGCAAAGTGACCTCATTCTTTCCATATGTGTACATACTGAGGATAGGCAAGAGGGATCTGCGGGGTGGAATCTGCTGAGATTACTAGCAAAGGAACATTGTATCCTAAATAGAGAGTGCTCTCAGATGCTCAAAATACCTCTTTAATTCTCCTTTAGGTTTCATCCGACCTTTATTCCTGTCTACAGTCATCTAACAATGCGTGCCCACAGAGTGCATCATGTCCAAGAAAGCCTTAAGTTTTTGAAAGGATAGATGTAAATTGCCCAAAATGTCTAGTATTGAAACTATGTAAGTCAAGGCGTTTGATCTTAGAAAATGGGGAAATAAGGACTAGTGAAGAAAGTACAAAGATCTTATTGTGAAGAACATATGAACCCAAACACTCTAATGAAATTAATAGCCTATTAAAATGTTTGCTCATAAACTATATCTAAATTAAATTATGTATTAATAAAGGCTTTTTATAACCACAAATGATACCAAGTATTTACCTCATGAATAATCATCTGGCTCCACCAGAACTGAGGAAGGTTGGACTTGAAGAAAGAAAAGAAGGGCTCTGGAATCTGTCACAGGGAAAGAATTTCCAAAGCTGATTCTGCACATGTGCGTGTTTTCACTGTGAGTGTGGAGAACTAGACATGCAAAGTGGAAGGGAAAGGTGGGGTTAGGGGACAGTAATAAAAGGCACAGGCTACTTTGGAAACAAGGAAACTAAGTTCGTAGGTTTCTAATGATAAATCTTTTAAAAAATATTTTACTTATTTATCTTTAGAGGGAAAGGGAAGGAGAGAGGGAGAGAAATATCAATGTATGGTTGCCCCTTGTGAGTCCCCTGCCAGGAACTGGCCTGCAACCCAGGCATGTGCCCTGACTGGGAATCGAACCGTGATCGAGCAGGTTCGATCGAGCAGGCCCGTGCTCAATCCACTGAGCTACAGCAGCCAGGGCTCTAATGATAAATCTTAAGTATTTCAAAAAAACTTTCCAACACTGTTGCCTATTCTCTCAAGAACTAGATGGAACTCAGATTCTCCTCTCTAGACATTGATGTTCATGGAAGAAAATGGCACAGCCCCTATCATTATACAGTGACAGGGCCAGATGGAGAATTCCGCACCATTTATCACACCATGGTAAGGCTGGAGAGAGGAAAGTTGGTTTCTGCTGGTTTGTCCCTTCTCAAGCATGGGAATCTTACCAATGGAGATACTTAGTTCCTTTCCAAATATCACACTCACTATTCAAACCCTCTCCTTTCCTAGCCTCTAACCTGTCCCAGAGAGGGTTCAGTTAACTTGCTAGAGTAGTTCACAGACCCAGAGAAACATTTTACTTCATAGAACACTGGTTTATAATAAAAGGACATGATTCAGAAATAGCCAAATGGAAGTGATACATAGGAGAAAGTGTGGAGAAAGGGGGTGGAGCTTTCATCCACTCTTGTGCTGAGTGCCCCACTCTCCCCAAGTCTCCATGTGTTCACCAACCCGGAAGCAATCTAAACCCTGATGTTCTGGGTTCTTATGGAGGCTTCATTTACATGGACTCAATGAGAACATCGGCCATGGGTGATGGCCTCAAAGTCCTGCCCTTCTCCCCAACCCAAAGTGGGAGCAGGGAGACAGCTGAAATTCCCAACCCTCTAATCACAAGACTGACTCCATTGGCAACCAGCACCGATTCTTAGCTTTCCAGAGTTACCACATTAACATAACAGAAGACACCTTTGTCACCCTCCACACACAAAATTCCAAGGATTTGGGGAGCTGTTAGCCTGAAACTGTGGATGAAAACCAAATACATGTGAGAAACACATTTTGGTCATCTGAATGACCAGATATATATTTTTTATAAATCACAGTGTCACACACACATTGTGAGGACTTCTTCATTCAGCATGAGTAATTACAAATGAAGTTAAATTTGTCTGAAAGCACAGAAACTGTGACTTAGCTCAATTCCAGCTTACTTTGGTAAAATGAGTATTTGTTTTTGATTCTCCATCTGTTCCTGTAGTACATCTTAATTATCTCCAAAAATAAGTCAAAATACTTAGAAGAACCTTGATAAGATTTTCATTGAGGAAAGTCATTTCATTGTCTATGTTATAAATTTTGAACTAATTTGAGCAACAAATGATTCTTTCAAGCTTTCTAAGTATTTATTGTTGGAACTAAAATTCTAAAAATTAGATAAACTAACAGGGGTCTTTTCATTTTAAATATCTTAGTATATAACTACTGAATATAACCACCCTGATGGTTTCCCTGCTGCAACTTTAAGTTATTTGAGAAGCTTAAAACCTTCATGAATCTTGGGCAACATGTAATATATTGTAGACGTTAAAACAAGACAACAGGCTCAAAATGGAGTCACTTATGCTAAGCTCCAAGTCACCAGACCAAGCTTTAATTAGAGTTTCAGTGCCCCGAGAAACAGAATCTTACAGCAGTCAGTCAGGAATTTCCTAGTCAGCACTAGTTGGGTAATTTTCCTGATAGCCTCCTGCCATCCCCTAAAGTACAGTGGCTTTGCCATAACCAATGCACTTTTTCTGTCTAGTATAACTTTCTTGTTCCCCCTCCCTTCTGTCTATAAATTCTCTCATTTTGGATAGCTCCTCAGAGCTCCTTTCTTTCTGCTAGATTGGATGCTGCCTGATTCATGAATTATTAAATAAAGCCAATACAATCTTTAAAATGTACCCAGTCAAATGTTTTTTAACATAGATTATACATTAATTTGTGTAGTATTATTTACACCCAACACAAGAGGCTGTATTGTTAGAATGTTTAGAGTCACATGGAATGATACATGGAGTTATGCAAAAACTTGACTTAGCCTAAAGTTTCCTTTCTTTTAATATCACCTTAATAACCTGAAGTGTTAAGTAGGAGGTATAACAAAAGACTTTTTTTTGGCCTCTATTTTCCTTCTTCATGTTGTTTATGAGTATTGAAATATAATGAAATGGTCAAAAAGGAGAGAGCAAGAGAGGTCAGGAGAAACAAAGAACTTGCAAAAAATACAAATTGAATAGGCAGTCCCTTAATAAATTGGTATTAATGGTGCTCTCAACTATTGATTAACCAAACAAATGAATGGGGAGAAAATTCCTGTACTGGTTTGTTAAGGCTGTCATAACAAAGTACCATTGACTGGGTGGCTTAAACAACAAAAATTTATTTTCTCACAGTTCTGGAGGCTGGAAGTTTAAAATCAAGGAGTTGGTAGAGCTGGTTTCTCCTGAGGCCTCTCTGCTTGTCTCGTAGGTAGCTGTCTGCTCTGTGTCTTCACATCATCTTCCCTCTGAACATGTCTGCATCCTAATTTATTCCTCTTAAAAAAACACTAGTCATATTGGATTAGAGCCCATGCAAATGACTCCTTTAACTTAATCAAATGTTTAAAGATCTAATCTTCAAATACAGTCCCATTTCGAGGCATTGAGTTGGAACTTCAACATGTAAACTTTAGGGGGAACACCAAGCAGCACGTAACAGAGCCCTGCCCAAGCCACCTGCTGAAAACGACCAAAAATTTCATTTATAACATGTAAAGCATCTTTGAAAATGCATCAAAGAGTGGAGAGGGAGAAAAAAGAAAGATATACACACAAGCCAAAAAATAAATTAAAGTGAGATTTTAGGTAAATAAAGGGAGCAGTGAAACTACTTTCACTTTGAGGACACTTTCAAAACCTGAGGAACTAAAGCATTAGTTTTTTGTTTTTTCTTTAATTTGCAGGGAGCAGAGAACAGGAGATGAAACCCCAGACCCACCCAAAGTGAGGAATCTAAAAACGCATCTACAAGCCAAAGGGATAAACACTCAGTGTGAGCTCGAAATAAATCTATCCCCTGCTCATACCCACAAACCATGGGACCACCAGGAGCAGTGGGGCGTGTGAACCTTGGCATTGGGTAGAGGGGGAAAAATCCCAGGACTTCTAATAATTCATAGCTGCAAACCAGACTCAAGTAGGTTTGTAGCCTGAATTTATACTACTTTTGTGGCCCAAAAGACCCTAAAGCCTGGAATGTGATTTCAATAGTCTTAGGTTGGTCTTGTCCCTAGGTATCTGAAAGAGGTATTCTGGTCATTAATTGCTGAATAAGAACCTATGCTCCTCCAAATTCAGGATTATAAAACAACAAGAATATATTATATTCATGGATTGTGTGGGTCAAGAATTTAAAAAGTGAGCTACAAGGAGAACTTGTCTGGTGCTGTATGGTGTCTAGTGCTTACCTGAGAAAATTTAAAGACTAGGAGGCGACTCTGGGGCTAGAAGCAGAAATGACCTGCAAAATAGCTTAACCACAAGTCTGGTGGTTGATGCAGGCTGTTGACTTGAATTTCAGCTAAGGCTCTTGGAGAAATACCATCATATGGCCTTTTCACATGGACATACAGGCTTTCTCACTGTTTGTGTTGTCCTTACTTAGGACCACAGATCTTGCAGGTGCCCCCTTTCCCAGCAACAGCTTATACAGGGTTCCAACAACACCATTTCCTTTTTTTGACCCTTCTGGGCTAAAGTATAGGTGCTTTTTCCTATTTCTAGTGCTTGACTACTTCATCTCTTTTATTGGTTCCTTTAATGCTGTCCATACCTCTCTGAAGAATTTCTTCTGTTAGCATTTCGATGCACTGACTGTTGATTTCCTGCCAGGATCCTGACTCACAACAGGAGACACACCTAAAGTACAAGAATTCTGAAATGCTAAAAACGAAAGGTTTTTAGCACCCCTCCAAACTGATATCACTATACGAAGGTAGACCTTAAGATTAAAAAACAGTATTAAAGATAAAAGAGATGCATGATGAAATAAATGTTCACTTCACTAGTAATATAACATTACTACCATAGCCTCAAATTATGTAAAGTGAAAACACCTGATAAAATTAGATAACTCTATCAAATCTAACCTGACAGTGGTTCTAAAGTAAACTGCTTGAAGAAACTGGGTCCCAACGGTTATAAGTGGGGGATTTTTGAAGTATGTGCATATTAAGTGGAGATCAAAGAGGCTCAACTAAATGAATTGTGGGCTGACTGACATGACAACTGCATTGAGCAAAAAAGGGATTAAGACTCACACTCAGGAGGAAATAAGGCGATGGAAAAAAGTAGAGCATTTATCCTAAAATAAAAAGTTATTAACTTTAAAAAATAACTACACACATATAGTTTTTAAAAAACCTTTACGTTCTGTGTAGAAATTCAGCATGTATTTTTGGCTTGAAGTTTCTCTAGTATTTTCTGTGGAGGGAATAGAAATAAAATTTAGCATAAATAAATAAATAAAAAGCTGTCTAGGGTAAAACAGACACTGTCATGTACTGCTGGTGGGAGTAAAAATTTCAGACTAGTTATTTGGATTATAATATTTGATCAAGAAATTC